GGGTTCTTGGGGATCCTGAAATCTGGGCATAACAAGCGCCATTAATATTGGTGCTGCCAGGATTCAGGAAGCCCCAGTTTGGGACACCATTAATACCGGGGTTCTTGTTCCGGCATTTAGAAGGGTTCAGCAATCTGGAGAAGGGGCTTTGTGTAACTTAAAGAGTTTAGAAACGAAGCATAATTTTGAAAGGCATATGGGGGGGTCAGAGGAGCTTAGCTAAAAGGAACTAAGATCTCCTCATCTCAGGACCCCATGTTTTTTATGAAAATAAATTGTCCTGAGGTTAGGCAGGATTTGGTATATAGAGGCATTGTGAGAATGGAGGAATTAGCCTACGGCTGTTCAGGTGTTTGACCAGTAGGAGGAAATAACATGTAGATTAAGATGCCCTGAGCTGTCTGGCAGCCAAGAAATCATCCCCTTTCAGGTTTGGGGAAATCACCTCAGCCATTCCCAATAGGTGACAACATATGTGACTCAGCCCTTGTTGAGTCCCCAAGTTCCATCAACCTTTTGATGAAACTCTTGAAATTATGACATGCTGGAATTGGCTTCTGGCACCAGGGGAAAATAGAAATGTATCAGGAATTATTAGAACTCTAATATTGGGGGCACCTGATGAAAATAAAATAAAATTACAAAATCTCATCGGGCCAGCAAATTCTGCACAGGAAATTAGAGGCAAGATACAATTACAAGAGGATTAGACAATTGTCTATAAGCACTAGGCAATTTTCCTTTGCTACTAAGGAAGGCTTAATACCAGAAACTTTTACATATCAGACAGTACCTAACTTAAATAGAAACCTCAGAGGTAAAGTTTATCAAAGAACTAACTCACAACAATATACACATAACAATGACTATAAAAAGTCATACAGAGGCCCATTTAAATCACAAAATAATGTTAAAGAAAAACCCCAATCACAAAATTACTTAAAAAAATCAGGCACAATATTGGGGAACCAACAACCCATTTAGAAAAGACTACAAAGACAGGTACAGACAGGAAAATAATCCTTTCAAACAGACACTTTTGCAGGTAATCCACCTGGATCCTCTACACAACAAAATCTTTTCCTAGAAGGAAACAGACAAAATAACCCTTTCCTACAAGGAAATTCCTGACAGGGAAACTCTAAAGGTCTTGGAC